GCGTCTTGACAAGCTTTACAAAAGTCTCTTAAGCAAGAAAGATAATTAACTTAGTATGAAAAAAAGTTTACCTTGGGTGAACACCACATTCGCACAATAGTAAATTTATATAGTAATCTGAGTTACTTTTTACTATGATTACACATCAGTTGACTGGAGAATCATCAATTAAATGAAAAAAATATATATATTTAATAAATGACAGCATTTTTTACACAATCAACAATATAATAAAAGATTTAATCGTTGCTTTAGAAAAATTTTAAATTAGTCTATTTATTAATAATTAATAAAAACACTAAAATCATAATATATATGATATTTAAAAGTCATACTCTATTACTCTATTCACATATAACAATTGAAACAGTAAATTTAATTATATGAAATTTGACACGCATGATTTAATTTCTTGAAGTCTACAAATATTAATTTATTAATAAGAAAAACTAAAATAATTAAATATTTAATTTTTAAGCTCAAATTTTCTACGCCAAATTAAAAAAATAATAAAAGATATCTTGCAACAGAATATTTTTGGCTGTGTAATTGCACATATTTATGTAATAGAATTTCAAAATGTGGGCTTCCACATGCACATCTACTAATTATCTTCTATCCCAATAACAAACTATATGATGCCGATAATTACGATGCAATAATTTCTGCTAAAATACTAGACCTAATTATGCAACTGAGACTACATCATACTATTGCAACTAACATGATACATGGACCATACGAAGTTTTCAACTCCAAAGCACTGTGTATGAGAAATGGTTTATACACAAAATATTTTCTGAAAGAATTCATTCAAGAAACAAAAAAAGGTGATGACTCTTATTGATATATCATCGACACGATAATAGACAAAAAGTATTTTGCAGGGAAATATAGCTAGACAATCATTGGGTTGTTCTCTACAACTCTTATTTATCCTTTAAATATGATTGTTATATAAATGTTAAAATATGCTCAAGCATAAAATCAATAAAATATTTATATAAATACATGTATAAAGAACATAATAAAGCCATTCTACATATAGCTAAAAAAGATGAGATTAGCCAATACTTGGATGCTAGATAGATCTCTGCTTCAGAAGCTTGCTAGAGAATTTTTAGTTTCAAAATGTCTCAAATTAATCCTTTGGTACTTTGTTTACAAGTTCATCTACCTTTCCAACAAACAGTAATCTTTTCGCAAAACACTGATCTAAATAATATTCTCAATAATGAAGAAAATAAAAGAACAATGTTAACTGAATATTTTAAATGAATAATATAGATCCAGAAGCCAGAAAATATTTATATTCTGAATTTTCACATCACTATGTCTAGAATAAAACTAAAAAAAAATAGACAAAATATTACCAGAGTAACATGATCAGGAGAATATATACAGTTAACTCTAATGAAGGAGAAAAATACTACTTACAAATACTCCTCTATCACATAAGAGATGCTACTTCTTTTACTAATCTTAAAATTGTCAATAATCAATTGTATTCAACTTTTCAACAAAGTGCATTGGCACACAGAATTATTGAAACAGAAAATCTATATTATAATACAATATGAAAAGCTACCCAATTTAGAATGCTGTGTACTCTTAGACAGTTGTTTGCAATTATATTAATTTTTGGTGAATCTGGCGATGTTTGAACTCTTTGGAATGAAAATTTTATTGCAATGTCTGAAGATTTTATAAAGAAAGGTATACCAAGTGGTCAACTTATAATAAATACTGTTTTGTTACAAATCAAAAACATTTTAAATCAACATAATAAAAATTTAAATAAATATAACCTTCTATCACTTAACCTACCCAATGAGCAAAACAATGAACAAAAATTAAAATTAATATTAGAAGAATTAAATATTCTGATAAATGACAATAATTTAGAAAAAATTAAATTGCTAAATCAAAACCAAAAAACAATCAGCTAGGTGTCTTTTTCATCGATGACCTGCAGGATCTGAAAAAACCTTCCTATATCTATGTTTACTTTGTACAATTCATTCATACTCTTTACTTGCACTTGTAACAGCATTCTCCAGCATTGCTGCATTAATCATACCAGGGGGGCAAACAGCTCATTCATACTTCAATATACCTCTTTCACTTGGACCTAATTCAACATGCAACATCAGTAAACAAACTCAATTAGCATCACTATTATGGTTAACAAAACTAATTATATAAGACAAAATCTCTACGATACATCGCTATGCAATAGAAGCCTTAGATCATACTCTTAAAGATTTAATGAGTTGTAACCTCCCATTTGGCAGAAAGATAATTGTATTCAGTAGAGACTTCCGCCAAATATTACCAGTAATTCAGTATAGCAGCCATGCACAAATAATAAATGCTTCTTTAAAATATTCCTATATATATATTCTACAACCAAAGTTTTTAAACTTTATACAAATATGAGAGTCAACTATAATCTAAATGATAACAACTTCAAAAATTTTATATTGAATATTGGAAATAGCAATGAACTCACCATCAAAGATAATATAATCCGAATTCTTGATAATATTGTTATTTTTTGGAAAGACGAAACATCTTTACAATCACTAATAAAATATATATACTTAGAACAACCAAGTCACTATTTCTATTTTACAAATCGAGCAATACTCACTACCAAAAATCAACATGTCAATTATGTAAATAACATAATTTTAAACAAAGTACCTAGCAATATTGTAACGTATCAAGGTTATGACTCCATTCCTGATAACATATATGGACTTTATCAACAAGAATATTTAAATTCAATAACTCTAAATAGTCTTCCTTTTTATGAACTACAACTAAAAATATACTCACCTATTATGTACCTTCATAATTTAGACCCAACAAATGGTCTGTGCAATGATACAAGGTTAATTTGCTGAACTTTTCATTCAAATATAATAGAAGTATAATAGCTACAGAAAGTTGTAAAGAAAATAATATATTTCTTCTTTGAATACTATTGATTCCATCTAAAAATATAAAACTTTCTTTTATACTAAAAAGAAAGCAATTCCCAGTCAAACTTGCATATGCATTAATAATCAACAAATCCCAGGGTCAGACAATACTGTGTATAGGTCTCTACTCCCCCGAACACGTATTCACACATGGCCAACTTTATGTTGCATTTTCATGGACTAAATCTCAATGAAATATAAAAATATTAGTAAAAAATAGAAGTATCCCTGGAAAACAAGGTGTTTTTACACGAAATATAGTATACAAAGAAATTTTAAGAAATTAAAAATTTATAAACAATTAAACAAATACAAAAAAATCAAACTTTAATCTAAATATATACGATTCAAATAACATTCAAATCATAACTAATATAACAATAATGAGCTATGCATTACAAACTTTTAAATGTTCTATATAATAAAAAAACATTAAAAACTTACTCCAAAATGATTCATCTTCACTACTTAACTACTAAATTGTATTCAACATAATCTAAATAAGCTTTAGCTTAAATTGATATAAAAAACTATAATTTAAAAATATCTAAAAAACTAATATCAAATTTAAAACCTATAAAAAAAAAACAATTTTTCATTTATATATACAAACACAAATGTTTAACTAATTATTACCTTTAAACTCAACAAGATAATATATAAATTATAATCGAATCTCTCATCAAAAATAAATAAACCAGCAAAGAAACTAAAAATAACAAGCACTCAATATAAAAAAAATTTTTAACAACCATTATAAGTACTTTAAATAATCAAAAAAAGAAATAAAAAAAACTTTTCTCTATTTTACAATATTCCTTATATACAAAAAATCTAACTCCGAATAAACTTCTAACTTAATAAATCACATATTGTTCAACTATGACTTTAATTATTTTACATAACAAATCATTACAAAACTTGACCTCAAAAATTATTAACCTGTCATAAAATCTACAAATCACATAATTATAATATACAAACTTATACATAAAACCATTCTAACAATAATAAATATTCAACTCATATATATATTTATAAATATCTACAATAAATTAATTTAAAATTTATTATTTTTTTTTTTTATTTTTTCATTTTACATTTTATTTACACACTACTATAACAAATATTAAAACAAACACAAATTTTAAAACCTAATAATATATGTTAATTAAAATATTAATCAATTAATTTATTAGTTCGAAATTTATACAACTTTTTATAAAAAAACTTTAACATATACTTTATAAAAAAAGATGAATACTTTATAGTATAAAAACTGTATGTGTATACAATTAAGCAAAAATAATAAAACAAAAATATGCTACTGCTAATAAGAACTACAAATATATCTTCTATTCTCAACCTTTCATATACAAACCATATATATGATATATATATTATAATATTAAGCAAAATTTTTTTTAACAGAAATAAATCTATCCCAAATATATATATAAAAAAATGCATACTAATAAATTTACTTCTGTCTATTTTTAGTACAACCTATACCAGGCTTATAAGATCTTAATATACTACATAAAGAACTACCTACAGGTTCTTTTTCCTTTTTATTCTTTTGGGAATTCTCCTTCTTTGATAAATTATCAAACACATTACCATCAACACCTTCAACAAATCTATCAAATTCAACATCATTTGAATCAATATACTCAAACAAATCTTCAGATTTATCACAACATTTGACTTTTACATACTTTGAAGGAATATTATCAGATGAAGATAACTTTGATGGTAATTTATCAACAGATCTATTCAAAACTAATGATGTAGGAGCATTTTTAAAAGTATCCTTCAATTTTCATTAATATTTCAATGCATAGAAAGAGGTTTTGACTAAGTTATATTAACAGCATATGATGAATATTTAGAAGTATTGCTCTAAACTTTTTTCTTAAAATTGTTAAAATTCATAAGATTAATATCTTTAGTGTAAATATAAAATTTATTCGCAGAGGTGTGGCAACTTAGTACAGTGATCTAGTCATCACCCTCTCCAAGTGGCAGGTCTAGAGCTCAAATCCCATAGACAACAACATTTGAAAAATAGATCTGTGTTCCGGTTAATAGCTATGCTTATTGGTTGGATCTTGAATTAAATCTGTAATTTTGGTCATACTATCTAGAAATGAGAGCTTTGGTGCAATAAATCCAAGGAACCAGCATAATCGAAAACCCATTTGGGAAGTTTTAAATTTGGAATAACAGTGATCTTTGACAGTACTACAGGAAGGCTGAATTCGAACTGGGCCTGAGATTGATGAACCGAGTGATCAAGTTCTTAAGTAGAGGACATACTAACCAGACCGCTAATTTGAAAATATCAGAAATTGACAAACATACACGGTGCATATTAACTGGGTCTCTAGCTTGGAAAAATAGTAGCAGGTGCTCTATTTCTTTCAGACCTGTGGATTGGAAGACACGGGCCATAAGGCACGGCCCAAAAAAATAGGCTGGGTATGCTAGAGGACTAGGAACTTCCAAGTTGGAAAAAAAGGACATATGCTATAAAAGTATGGACCAAGGTAAAATGGGGCTAAAGGCACTTAGAGCCAGGCCCAAGTTGAGCCTCCTGAGTCAACGATTAGAAGTAAAGAATGAACCGATTAAGAATCCAGTAAGAAGTCAGTTAGAATATGGGTACTGACTGGGTTGTTGTGAACCATATAAGGGTAGGAGTATGTAATAGACAACTAATTAGGAAGGTTATGCTTGAGATACAGATTGTATTATAGCAGCATCCCAAAAAAGTGGCTTGAGATACAAACTCAATTACGGCAGACAACAGGTACTAATTGAGAAGAAGTTACTAAACAAGTATGCACTATCATGTATGGGACATATAATGTGTTGTTAGGTTTACTTTGAGGATATATTAGCTAGAAATAGTTAGTAAGTCCTAAGGCTAGTTGTAATATATATAGTTAAAAGAAATAGATATAATTGATAGATGTGCTATAATACTAACTTCAACTTAACTATCTCTTAAATTGTAACACAGCCAAATTTGCCTGCGAAGATTTTTACTAATTTTTTTAATATTTAAATTTTTTAATAAAATTTTGAATATTAATTTTAG